CAAAAGAATCACAGCCATAAAGAAACATTAGTTTAGTCTCTACTTGTGAGATGGCATCTACATTACCATCCTTTTACACTGATGAAGCAGAACAGCCATAAACCATCACCTGATCACGTTTATCACAGTGAGGATTGCTACAACGAATAGCCCAGCCTGTCCACAGGGCAAGCAGAACCATTATTTACAACAACAATTAAGTTTAAATCCCACTCAAGAAAATGTGTTGAATGTCCATCAACCCCAACCCAACAGGGAGGAATGAAGAATATACAACAAGGTTATCGCAAAAATCCTATTCAAGTGCATTTGTTTTCACCTGGCATAATTATTCTTTTGGGAAAAGCTTAAACTTTATATGTATTAAAGTATTATAGCCTGCACTGTCATATTTATATAACAGCCTTCTGTTGTTGTTCCCCACAATCTGCCATAATGCTAGTGATCCCTCCTCTGTCACTGCGCATCTGAGCACAGAGTCACAATAAGGCAGATACTGTCTTCTGGTCTTCTTACTTGGATGGAGGTCTTGTGGAAAACAAAACGGCAGAAAAGCTTTAAAAAGGAAACGGCAGCATTAGAATCAAGTTGCAATGGTCTCTAAACAATTTAGCAGATTGCACAACCTCAAGAGAGCCAGGGACTGACTTCAGCGGCGAGACAGAGGCCGCACACTGGCTCAGGGAAAAGAAGGAAGCAACTCATTTTCACAAGAACAAACAGTTTGGAAGCCAACTCCCATCAATCCTGAAAGAAGGAGCAATCAGGAGATCCGTTTTGGATTTGCACAAGGACCCGCTTATCCGATATGACCCTAGCAAGACGGCTTGTCTTCATCTTCAAATTAATTTGCTGTAATTCACAGGAGCCTTCAAGGTTCTGCAGCTGCCTTCACGAGACACTGCACTGCCCCTGCACTGAACCCCAGTCTCGGACGGGCCCGACACGCAGCCAAGACCTGCAGGGGAACGGAGTCTGACGAACAAACTTTCGACAGGGAGCAACAAGAGCCCACATGAAGAACACACACGCTGGCATGCATGGTCTGAGCAAGACACAATTCTGTACAGATGAGTTTATACTGAACATTATGGAATGGGGAAAAGCTTTTACAGCTGTTGTTTGACTGAAACACAGGTTGTATTAAGTTTCTACAGGTTGTCACTATAGCCTGTTTCAGCTTCACCCTGCAGGTGTGCTCAATGCTGTATTTACAGCACACTGGGCAGATGTGAACTAGCACCTAGAAATTCTTTAAAGATAACCAACATTTTCACAACAAGACATGACCTGGTGGAGAATGGCTTCAGGGCAAAGGAAGACACAGTATTTCAGACAACAGCTCTAAAAACAGTGGTGTTTCGTAACAAACAAAAACAAAATATTTCCAATACAAAAATAGATTTTTAAAGAAATTAATTAACTCCACTTCATTTAATAATTCACAAAACAAATCTTACTCATAAATGTTTAATGAATAGTGTTTAATGCACAGGGGTCATGGGAAATAGGTTGAGTTCAACAATTGCACCACCTCATCTGATCCTAAACTCCTGAAATATGAAGCTCTGGAAAGAGTTTTTTTTTTAGGTCATCACAGGCCAACCTTGCTTTTAAAATTTGTGTTCCTGAAGAGGAAAGAGCATTAAATGGCACATTTCAGGAGAACAGGTTCTAACGAAAGCTACCCCTTTCTCACCATCTGTTTGGAAAATGATATAAATAACTTCCTTCAGCAGGAAAAGCTTTTATCTGTTTTTGTTAAGGGTTGGTGTTGTTCCCAGATAAACGCTAGTCACAACAGAAAACTATCACTCAGTGTCAAAAGGGTTTGTTTTTTAAGATAAAGACACTTACCAACATGCATAACTACCACTTGAAATACCCAATATTTTATACTGTGACAACTTTCATTTTAACACAGTAAAGCAAACAAGACTGATACAAATAATCTAGGTTTGGGAGGGGAAAAAGCAGGCCCAAAAGTCTGATGCTTTTCTTCAGTAATAGCAGTCACAAATTTTATTTTCTCTTTGGATCAGGTTAACTCAACAGATATCATAGTATAATTTTTTTAATTCATTTTAACTATTCAACAGATAATATTTCCATAAAACAGAAAAGACAAAAACAATGTAAAACATATCTAGTCACTTTCAGACATAAGGCTTGGGTCTAAAATGTGGATCAACATTAACAACAGTGATTCTCTTGGTGATCCTTAGCCTTTTATCCCAGACTCTCTCCTCTTCCTCAAGGGAACACTCTGGACCAATTATGCACATGCCATTTTCTTTTGATTGGCCAAGAAAATAAGCTGTGTCCCAGAGCCCTGTATCAGTTAGTCATCTTTTTTTTCCCCAGAATTAATAAACACTCAAAGTTGTACTGAATGCTCTGCTTGTGGTTCCCATCCCTGTATCTTGTAACCAGTCTGTGCAGATGAGCTCTTCATCCACATCACCAAATCACCACAACAATGCATGAGCCTAACATCAAAGAACTGGCTTTAAAGTGGACTGTAAAAATATTTTCTTTCTACCAGAGCAGGAAGAAGCAGCTCTGAAAAATAAGCTGATGGAAGTGCTCGGCCAAAGGTTCACATAACGCTGGGTCACCTCTGCTACTCTGTCCTGTATCTCAGCAATACATTCTGCCAAACAAGATTAAACAAACAGTTTCCAATAATACATCTGGAACATCAAAGGTGATGCCAAGATAACTTTTAAAGGCTCTATAAATAACACCTAAAGCTGTATTCTCTTCATCCAGTCTTATCAGTCTGATACACAATCATCTGATGGCTGACCAGCACTGAGCCAATCCAGGCCATGAGTTAGTGCACGGATTACATCCTGTTCAGCTGTGCTGAATCAGTCGAACAGTGATGCCTTCAGAAATGAATGTTCATTTGCCTGGAAAATCTAAACAACAGTCAGTTAAACTGCTGCATTATCTACACCACAGGGAACATGGGAAAAATTTTAACTGTCCTGTACACGATGTGTTAAAATATGCATTACAGTATGTCCTTGGACAATGATATTAAGAAGGCTCCAGCACATCATAATTTAATCACAAAAATGCAGTTTTATTGGCATACAAAATATAGGTTCTTCAAGGCTGACAGTAAAAAGTAACAGATACAAAATAGGTTCAAAGGTCACCAACAAAACACAGACTGAAACGGACAAAATGAAGCAATCCAGGCACGGCGGTTAAGTGTTGCTAATGTTACTGAGAGGCTTGTTTATTTTTGGCCTAAGTCTACAAGAGTCTTCAGTTGGATTTTAAGAAGCAGAAGGTCTTCCTTTAAGGATTCTAAAATGGTTAGAAGACTGAAGCTGTGAATTAGAAATGCTAACCCCCTCCTCACATTCATTTTCTGTTTGGTCTGAAGTTTTTGGCCTGGTCAGAGGTGTATGGTACAGGCATACATATAGATATGGATATATCTATAACATATTGAGCTGGATATGGACATGTTTACTGTGAGCGTGTTGCAAAAGCCCTGATTATTCTTCCTGATGTCCCTCAGCTGTCCTATTTGTTATGTGCATTTGTTATGCACACCACCCAGAAACATCACTGAACCCATCCCAGGTTTAGCTTCAAGCTTATCTTACATATCAAGCACTGCTGTGAGAAATTAATAGCAAAGATCTTCAGATCACAGTCTTAAATATATTCTAACATCCGTAGAAAATTCTAAACTTTTAATTTCAACTTGGTAGAACACCACCCAATAAAATTGCAAAATAATTTGTTAATGGGCCAATAATGGCTTCCAGACTTTTTGCGAGTGTGACTGAATGTGAACTCCCTGCCACATTCTTGCTATAATTCAAGACTGCAGCACCTCCCAAAACACATTCACAGGCTCCACAAGCCTGGTGCCTGTGCTGTTGTGGAAAAGGGCCACGAAGGTCAGGATACAGCTCATTAGCTTCTTTTTCACTTATTTTCTGAAGCCAAGCTCATTACACAGGTACATAAAAAATGCAAACAACTGCACTGTCCATTGCATTTACAGGTATGTGTAGGTGGGTCAGCCACTCTAGCATGGCAATCAGCAACAAAAAAATTTTTCCTCACAAGTACAGTGCAGAATGACATTGGGATCAATATCTGCCCCATGAAGCCAGTTCATCGGGGGAGCCCCAGAATATAAACTTATACTGTAAAACCACAAAGGTTTGCATACTGTAAAGGTTTGTACAAACGGTGATGCTGAATGCCCCTGAATACAGTGCTGAAATCAGTCTCACAGTCTGCCCTTCAAATGACTTGGAGACAATGCAAGAAAAATGCCATTACTGGTATTTGTAGTTCAGATGAAATGCCATTAATCTTTCTATTGCTTTCACCCAGAAACAAACAAAACTCTCAATTTCAGATGACAACAAAGATAAAGAGTTATTTACTGAACATTTGTATCATTATTCGATTTATGCAGGGAATCCCAAGAGATCCTCAACACAACACTATTTTTTTTAATTAGCCATATTTTCTTATGCTCCCCACTGATCCTAGCTCTCAACCCTCATTTCAAAGGGAACAATTTTTTTCTCATCCAATTCGTCCCTTTAAAAAATTCCCTAAATCACACAGGTTCAAGCAACTGGACCAATTCATTTTAAAGCGTTCAGAAAAACAGTAACATTTTTGCCAACAAGAGCAGAAGCCATCTAGGTTCTCAGATAAATGTGTATTTCCCACATTTTATCCGAGTACTGGCCCCTCACCGTGCTGTCAGGACAGAGCAGGGACCCAAAGGGAGCCTCTGGGACCTGTACTGTACTGTGAAGGCTTTCACAAAACCGCACAGCACCTGAGCTCAGATATCACATTACAGAAAAGTGAAGAAACTCTCAGGAGAACCAGCTGAAGAAGCATCACAAGAACTCAACCACAGGTGCGCATATCTCTGGCAGTTTCAACGCTGGCAGTGTCAAACACCTGTCTCGGCTTCACTGCCCCTTGCTGGAGCTCCTGCTTACCCTGGAGATGGTCAGCGGCATGTTGAAGTCTTTGCCCCCCTGCAGTCTGAAGCCCCACGGCGCTGGGCCAGCCAAGGACACACTGTAGGTGGTGCTCATGATTGCTGCACGGCGCGCTCTCCTTTCCCAGATCCAAAACCCCGCTTCCTGTAAAGAAGAAGACCGCTTTACTACTGTGACTCAATCCACTTTCGCCTCCTTCTCTTTTCCGCTCTCAGGTGCCTGTTTTGGCCTGAACAATGACGGAGGCATGCAGAGACACAACCGCAACAGCTCCCCAGCCCCCAGGCAGACACACCTCTCTGCCCAGCACGCTCACCGGATCCCAGCGGGACTGTTTTCTAAAATAACAGCTTACTGGAGAACCATACACATTCTGTTGCATTGTTTTATGGACATAGTGGGCATGCGAGTTAAGAATTCATACAGTTTTATTTCACTGCTTCCTCTGAAACTGCTGCTATACTTCTACTATTACAGTACATTCGCAAATGACTATAATGGAAACTACTAGAAAACCCAGCAAACGTGTTACTCCTTCAGCACCAAACAGCATAGCACATTTTCTAAACAAATTTCAAACACAACTTGATTCAATTGGCTACTTTAAGACAGATAATGTCTGAGATGTAGAACCAGTCATGCCCTACAGAATGAAGTCATGAAGTCATCCCATCTCTCCTTGTCTTCATATGCAGGCAGCCTAACCAATTTAAAACATGTCCAAAGCTGATTTTAAATCCAAATCGGAGTAAAGCAAAGCTAAAAACTTTTACCTTTAAAGTCCAATCCCTTAACAGCTGGCTAATTGGTTTGTCCACAGCCCACAATTCCCCTGTGATCACAGAGACAGCAGTGTCAGCTGAACAGAGTGCTCTCGCTATTTATACGGCTGACCAAGCCATAAGCTTACACTGGTATTTCAGGAATTGACTACGAGCGAGTGTGCCGGATTTAAGGTGGAACCCAGCACAAAACAAAAGACACCAGTGTAAACATTCCCAATGCAGAGATTAAAGGCTCAAGCTGGTTTTCCACACAGGCAGTTCACTAAAACTGGAGGATTCTGTTTGCTCTCGAATTACTAGGCCCTCTTCCAGGCCAATATAGTCTTCAGACTGCAATACAGCAGTCAAAAATGGAAAGCAAAGATGATCAACCATCACTGGGGATTCAGACATACTGCTTTTGTGAATTTCACAGCAGGAGCAGCACAAAACAGCGTGGCATTGTTTGTTTTCACTGTTCTGTGAGCAATTCAAACCCCACTCACACCTACTGTATCTGAAACTGAGTTACAATGAGTTTAAGACTTTCCTTTAAATATTACTACATACTTTTAGAATAGCAAGGCCTAAAACTGAATTATTCCAATTAAGTTTTATTATGCACTGTTTTATTAAAACATGAATATTACCAAGGTTTAATATCTAAAGGGAGGAGAAACACAATAACATCTATATTAACATAACATTAATATAAAAGGATCAAGAACATTAACTATTTTTATAACTAATAAAAAATAGGCAAGTATACTTAAATAACTGTGCTTGAAACAATGAAGACATGAGATGCACATGATAAATAACATCTCTGAGGTACAAAGATATCATCTGGAACGTTATTTATGCATCAAAGTCTGATTTACTGTATGTTGTAAGACAAAAAGAAAAAAATATTACTTTGGCAAATATTTAAATCTAAAATTACACAAAATCATATCCAGCAGTCATATCCAGCATTGTGGATAAACCAGCAGTCACAGATAAATAGTGTGATATAATGTGACATGCAAGTGTAAAATTGAGCATTGCATTTCTCAGTGACTAAGCTCAAGACCAGATGGCCACAGAGAAGTGCTGGGTTCGAAGGATGTGGTAAAAGGTGATTCAAGACGCTAAACAGAACAAGAGCCGCTGAAGGGCAATACGGTGAACTTAGTAGTAGATGCCTGGCTCAAGCCTCATCTCCCCACCTCAAGCTCCATCACAGACATCCCAGGTACTGACTCATTCTGTGTCACCTTGAAAAAATAACTTAGCCTCTTCACATGCTGTGTTTTGGCTGACATAAAAAGGGCGCAAGGGCCTCCTCACAGAGACACAGAATTGGAAGAGGCCGACTAGGGTGCATGAGGAGGTACCTGGTCTGTCATGGGTACCCTGCATCAGAATCACTGTATGAACAGAGAATAAGATCTTCAAGGACAAAATCCTACAGCTTCAAAAATTGAACAGCTTGAGATAATTCCAAACTGGAGTTTATTAATCTTTATTTTTACTGGACATGTCTGTTTCAAAATACATTTTTGTTTTACATTTCATCAAGACATGCACTAGATGCCAAATACAGATTTCCAACCCAAGAAATGGGTAGGAGGGCTACACTGAAAATGGTCCAACTTTGTTGAAACAAAGGTAGGTTTGCTCCAGTGATGCTAGCAGCCAATTAAAAGAATGATACTTTGGGCAAATCATTCAACAACCCTCCAGCTATGTTATTGCATTGACACAATATAGGCCAATTGACTGTTTCTTATTCTCATAGTGAATGGTCTGTATGAGGTCAGACTCATAATACTTTAATTTTCTAGGTGGGTCAGGGCTGGCTGGTTAATCAGACAGGTCTTGTGGTTTGTGTGGAAACAACAGACCTTGTTTGTGTAATGTGCTCTGTGCTCTGCTCATTGTGTCCAAGGCTTGGTTTGAAGGTTTCAAGGATGTCTCCTGCTTCTGGGAGCAGGGATGGGGAGGCACTCCAGTCAGGCGATTACTCTGGCTAAGCTGTCAGAGGCGCCAGTGAAAGCTGGAAACCTTACATTTCTGGGGAGGGAGGGGCAATAGAACAGCCAGATGAGCTGCTGGCATGTTGGGAGATGTTTCGAAACCTTCCATTGGTAAATTGTACCTCAAATTACATTCAAGTCCTGCACTGCCATTCCAGCAAGATCATTCTTGTGCCTGACAATGCCTGGGGAAGGTTTGGAAAAACAAAAGATTTCTCTTTTCCAGTTTCCCATCCCAGGTTCCCGAGTAAATTCCAGCTGAACATCCAGATATTTGCTTAGAAGTGTAAACATAGTGGCAGAACTCCACCACCATACAGTCAGGGTTATAGTAGTAATTCAAGCAGATTGAAGCAAATATTAAAGCCTTTTTTTAGTTAAAACATCTCTTAAACATATTAAATTGTTTGATTTTTCCACAAATTCTTTTCCAGCATTCACAATTTCTGGAAGAACTACATTCTTATGCTGAAGAAGTACAACTTGCTGCTCTAATGTTCTTAACATAACGGTAGTCTTGAACAGGAAAACCAGCACACTGCAGGTCAGACATCAATCAATGACAGTATGTAGTAGGAGCTCATTTATTCTTCTAGCTGATGTCTTTATATAACCAATTAACCACAGAAAAACAACATTACAAAAAAACTAAATTCAGAGACAAAGAAATAAGATAATAAAATTAACATGAATCAGAAAAATTGCAATACTGAGGTGTAATATAGGTTCTGAAAGCAAAGGCAATAAAAACAAAAATAAACCACTGCTGTGTGCCAGATGAACCTGCAGAACATTTTTTTTTCCAGAGATACATGTTCTTGTGATGCAGTTGATGTTTATCTATGTGAGAAAAAGATAGGCTGCTGGACAAAACACATCCTCAAAAGACAAATATTGTGCACTGCTCAGATACTGCCTCCTGTAGCCTACAGATACCTTGCTTTCAGGAGAAAGCTGAAAAAAATCTTCATTCATCTTCGAGCTAAGAAGCTGAGTCAGGAAGATATTGGACAGATAAATACAATACACAGAAATGAGTGTAGGAAAAATCTTCCATGGAATATGAGGATTCTGTCCTGACTGTCCTATGGCATTGTGAAACACCTAAAGCAGGAGCCACAGAAACAGCAGACCTGGATGCTTTGACAATAGTCCTTTTCACCTGGCACGGTCACAGAGCAGTCAGACACACCAAAAAGATAAGGGTGTATAAGAGAATGGACATAACCAAAGCATAAAATGTCTGTGTCATGAACCTTTAAATTAAAGAAATGTCCAGCAAATGCAAATTCCATGTGCATTAACTATGGTTTATTTTGGGCTTCTCCGAATTGATAACCTGCCTGCATCCTGTCATGGAAAAGGTTCATTGTATCTTTCAACGAAAGACCAGAATAGAAACTTTTCACACACTGGAAAAGCTGGGTCATTACATAACATGCCGCACTCCTGCTTGATCTGATCACAGACTGCTGGAAGTCACTAACACTGCACATCCAGTACAATGCAATCATTGCTTAGATTCTACTCACAAAAACAGGTGAAAGAGACTGACTGGAAGAGGGTCTCTGCATTGAGGTCTCCTGCATTATCTGTTAGCTTGTTCCCATTATATAATCAAGATAAAATTACTATTCTAAAAAACAGTTTTATGAATAGGATGAATGACAACAGCTGAAAACACATACTGTACATGAAGAATTTCTCCTAGCAAAGTGAACCACCTCCCACAGAGTACCAATTCATCTACAATTTCTACCACCTAATTTTCACATTTTTAAGATAATCAGGATTCGCCAATTCTTGTTTTTACAATCAGTTGATTAAGACTCAGCTTTCCACAAGCGACTCCTGTGCAGCACAAGAATTACAAAAATCTCCAACACGTCCACTGGTCGGAGTCTTTTGGGACACACTGCATGTGCATGTTGACAGGGCTCCACATGATCCAGTGATGTCCAATGTCATGATGCTGGAACACAGCTTGGGCTGAGTCTCTCAAGCTCATTGGGTTCTGTTTTAGTCACATATCCAGAACTGGTCAACCACACCCCTCCCCCTGCCCCCACCTACAAAATGGGACACACAACCTGTCCTGCACTGGTTGAGACCCTTCAAGGCTGTCGGGCTTCAGCTGTATGAGCTAATCACCTCATTGCTATGCTGTGCCTCTCCCAGAAAATACTCTTCAGATAATCCAATAACTGTGCGAAGCTGAGTTTTTTGTTAAATCACCTGGAACAATGTTATGTCAAACAAAAGCAGCCGTTCCATGACACAACAGGTGAGCCTGTCTCACATTTCAATGAACCTGGTCACCTGGGATGGTTCTTGATAGGAAAGCCCTGTCATACAGCACCTC